CATAACTAAATAATGTAAACAAATAGGAGTAACTTCCCTTGTCATGATAGAAAAAACGCAAAACAAATAAGATGGAAAAAGTAAATTTTCTTGTTGGTGACACAGTTAAGTGCGGTTTAAATGGTGGAATGGGCAAAATAGTTGAACTAATACATCCACTTGGTACCTATGCTGTGTATAAGGTACAACTATTCAATGATGGGAAAATTTTCACTCTGGAAAAACATGAACTGGTAAAAGGTCTTCCTGATGATTTAATGATGTTCAATTCTGACATGTACAATCAACTTATTGTTCCAAAAAAGACAATTCAAGTGCAAACATCCAGCCTGAAGCTTTTTAAAACTTCAAGCCTAGACACTCTTAACAGCTCAAAACTTGACAACCTTGTGTCTGACACTTCTTCACCTCTCCCTAAAAAAGTAAATAAAAGTGCTTTACCTAACTAGATTCCAAGAACAACTTCTACTACTGGTGAAAACAGGATCTAAATTGCCAAATATTTCCCAAACACTTCAATGTAACAGGTTTGCACCTCCTTTTGAAATTGAGGTCTACATTATAGAGAATGAAAATCAACAAACAAGAATGAAAACAATATCACATCAAAGACTCCTTGAATCGTACCTTGTTGGTAAAAATGAAAATCGCAAAATCCATGAAATCCCTGCTAATGAGCTAAATCTGTACCTTTGTCAATTAATTTTCAGTGTGCGCCAGAAGAATGGGGATAAATATGAACCAGTCACAATACGAAGCATGATCAGCAGTTTTGAAAGATATCTGAAAATTTAGTTCATGAGTATGAATTTGGAAAGCTTCGTGAAGTATTAATTAAAAGTGTAAACAAAAAGACTAACAAAAACAAGGCCGTGGCAATAAACTTAAAGCAGCAGGCACAATCAATGATGACGAAATAGAACTTCTGTACACCTCAGGACAGTTGGGTACTTCTTCCCCTGTTGCACTTATCAACACTCTATGGCTGAGCAACACTCTACATTTTGGAATGAGAGGTGGTGGCATTGAACACAGACGACTATGTTGAGATGATATTGCCCTTTGCTTTGACAGTTATCTTGGTAGGTCAAGTCAATATTTTATTTATTGTCGGAATACCATATATTTACATATTTCAATAAATAAATAATTGTTGTAAGTAGGAATACATTTATATATTCCTAATAGAATTGAAAAAGTTTGATAAATACTCGCTATGTACTAAGCTATTAACCAACATCAAATATAGATTACAGTAAATTTATTGCCAGGTGTAATTAAATAATTTAAAACAAGACATTAGTTACTTGGAAGACAGGATTATCATGGATTAATCAATTGTTAGTAACAAAATTTTATTTAATATTAGCATCCTGATATTTTAATCACTCTTAAAAAGATTAAAATATCATGTAAGTGAATAATAATGATAAAAGATACTAAAATGTATCATTTACAGTCATCGAATTTAGATCTAGCCCGATGGCCCATGGCCAATGAAAAATAGTTCAGGCCATTGTAAATTTTAAGACAATTTAGTTTAATATATCAAAGTACAATAAATTCAAAACTGAAATTCGGGCCAGTAAAAACCAATGACTGCATTTATATTGGATAATGGATACCATAAAGATTTGCATTAGCATGTAGCTAATCATATAACAAAATAATAAACATTATATGTGTAAACAAAATCTTTTATTGAATTTACAGGCAAGGAGTATTTACAATTTAATACTGGCTATGAACAGGCTAAATCAAACCGAGCCTGCAATATTTTCAATTTCGTCGCTTTTGGCGTCCTTCAGGGATTCCGTTTTTCTCGATTCGATATGTTTCTGTTTTGCTGAAATGTGATTCACATAACGTCTGTGGAATATCCTTAAGATTTCAAAGCAAAGGAACATGTACACATCAAAGGAATCAATCTAGTAGTACTTATAAAATAGTTAAAAACAGAATCCCCGAATAAAGACAAACACGGAAAAATGAAACTGATGCAAGCGCGGTTCTATAGAGCCTGTTTATGTACGGTATTGGTAATTGCAAGCTCCCCTTCACGCCCTAGCCCTACCTTAAGCAGAATTCAAAATTGGACGTGAACTGGTAAGATTTTGAATTTTTAAACATCCGCCTGCAGATTTTTCATATTTCATATTTAATCTTTTAATATATATTTATTAAACAGCATATATGTACATTTTAATCAATACATGAGATAGAAATATGTCGTATGTAAAGTTTCTCTGAAGACATGCTTTTGTTTTGTATTATTTAGGTACCTTGTAGGTACAGATGCCAAATACACCTATCGGTTGCTCTGGAATTTGCCTGAATGTATAAATGATTATTACTTTGCCAAACAAGGAATTTACAATGTTTAGATCCACTGTGTATAAAGAGAACTGACGAACACTGCTGGTGTCGTCCTTCTGGAAAATAGTACACAAGTGTATGAAATCATATATATCATATTGTTAATACAATTATAAGTTTATCAAGCAGAATTAATGTATAGAGGATTTTTCTAAAAGGGGTCTGGTGTCGGTGGATGCATGGCCGAATTTCAATCATTTGCTATTCATCATTGGAGGTTCGAATCCTGACAGGGACTAGGAATTGTCAGCTCTGATGCCGCCCGGTACTAACTAATGTCAGTTCGGATCCCGCCAGGGCCCTATAATTAGAAACATTGTTACTTTGCAAATCACTCTTCATTTTTTATGTCGCCTAGCACCGTACCATATACACATATTATTATTATTATTATCATTATTATTATTATGTTATTTATGGAAACATTTGACATAACAATTTTCAGTTAGTTGTAATTATAGACATTTGTGTCGTTACGCAGTTAAATACTTCAAGTCATATGTTTCATATACTGAATGCGATTGCTTAGCTTGTACAAGAGATTTTAAATCATCCAGGACTATGAAATATTTTTGAATAGCCGTACAAGACTGACTGACCTTTTTATGACTTTTCTTTATTCTTTGTGGCAGCCATCTTGAATTCAATTGGATTAAATACTTTTTGTACAACTATTAGCGAAAAGGGATTACTGCTAAATAGATTAACATATTTTTCAGCACAAATTCATTAAGGCTACTATCATACTTCAATCCAGCACACAACTGTTCCTCAAACAGCGTAAGAATGATAACACTTTAGATCCTGAAACTTTCTTTTAATAGATTGTCATGAAAATGGGTTTATCTAACACCTGTGAAAAAAACTATAAAAAAAACTTTTCTTATATGTAAGTATTTGATATTTTTATGATAATATATGAAATATATTTATGATAATATATGGAGAATAAATAAATATACGATAGCTAAAAATAATACGGCTTTTTATCTTATTATTTATTTTCCTAATTATCTTGCGACAGTAGGGTGCAGAAAAGAACAGCCAAATAAATTTCCGCTGTAAAATCGACCTGGGCGGTGTAGCTTAGCTATCTTACAGATATCTTGCTGCGATAAAAGTCAACACAGTATGCATCAAAACTCCAAATCGATGTTTAATAGCCAATAGTCGCCGCAAACATAAATTCTTTATTCGACTCTGTGTTTTACTTTATCATATTTTCTTTTGTAATTTCATATTAAAATCAGGGTGTTTAACCACTGCTCGATACATGTAAGTGATTCTCTGTCATGCAATTCATGTTTTACAAGTTGCACTAATTCATTATCCCTCATGTGGGGCTCAATCAAATCGATTCTGCAATTTTCATGTATTTTTGTTGTGATTAATGCTACCTGGGACAACGGCAGGTTTCAAGTGCCCTGTGGCAGCTGTAAAAAAAATTTCATTTCAGTGTTGTTATATTTTTCTGGTCCTTCGGGATCGTTAGTACTATTGAGTGTTGAGAGTTGGGTGCCGCTCGGGCTAGGGTGGCGTGAGGGATGTTGGACTCGTTCATTATACCTCATGTGCGGGTCTGTAATTTTCACGTATTTGTTGTGATTAATGCTTCCGGGGATCACTTTGTTTCCAGAATGTTGGTACCTGTTACTCTTGGTTAAGTTAGAAATTTAGATGTAATATAGAAAGAGATAAAAACATAACAACATAACATCATACAATTGTTTTGCCTTAAAGATGAACAAGTATTTAATCATGATAAATTAAGGTCTTAAGTAATGATTTTTTCTAGTAAATTTGACAACAGGAATCTACTGAGTTTTTTGACATTACGGAGATGTTAAATGTTTTTGAGATGTATGTTCCATCTGATGTAGATCCAGCCCAATAATTTGTTTGCAAATTTTCACATCATTCTCTCACTCCGTTGTTTTTTTCATAATATATCTAATTATGAAAACCAGTCCAGACTTGAAAAGCGTTTCATTCAAAAAGGTATAATAATAGCACAAATTGCAATTTAGGTTTTAGTATATTACTGTTTAAAGTGCCCAAGGCAACCTAAGTAACTCAATGGAATTCCTTAAAATTGATAACTAAAACAAGACACGTAATAATGGAAAAAATATTTTTCCGTGACTACATCATCATGCAAATGTTAATTATTCTCTATGAAATCATGTTATTGTAATAACTTATGATTATGTCTTGATCTTACATCATGCAAAATTTAGAGAGCTAAATGACTGATGTCTATTTTTGTATAACAATGTAAATGAAATTTTTATGATCAAGCTATAGCAAATGTTTATAAGTATTTCCTCTTTTTAAGTGGTATTCACAATGCTTATGATAGTAATTGTATAGTTCATAAATTAAATATATTTTAAGCAATGGATTTTATCGTAGTTTCGTTTTCCTGTGACTATTTTATGTTCAAGAAATAACTCATTATTTGTAACGCATTAAGCTAAGTTACCAAAGTAAGAGATAAATAAATGTTTAAATCGATAACGAGCTTTAGATCTTGTTTGCATTTTGTATCTTGTATTTTTAGTGGGGGATTAAGTAGGAAAAAAGAGTGAAACAATTTAAGGGGGGGGGGGTTAATTTGGAAAAAGGAGTGAAATATTTATTGGGAAAGCAATAAAATAAGTGAAGTAAAACCATTCATTAACAACTTTATGTTAACTGCAATGTTATGGATGTTGAAGTTATGAGAAATTGTACCAACAACTTCGGCTTGAGACAACGTTCAATGGCGGTCAACACAGTAGTCAATTTTATCTTTATTATTGTATTAATGATGTGTTTAACAAATATCGCAGATTGTTACTACATTCAAAGCAACATTTCCAAGTGAGTTTTTACATTTGATTTCATTGATTTATATATAACAATTATTTGAACTGAAATCATAATTGAAATACCGTAAGAATATTGTTTTGCAATTATGAATTATTTACACAATCAGCTTAACATTTAAATAAAAAAGTTAAGTTGCTTGTAAATTTACATTTTATACTTTCTTTTTTTAATTATACAAAATCTTAGCTGACATGTGTTGAGCTATTTGGGAAAATACCTGCTGGTCACATTTTACAATTCTATAGAATTTGTATAACTCCTGTTCACTTAATATAACTGAAAAGTTACGAATGATTTTTTAAAACACATTATTTTTGACTCCATATATTTATTTTTATCATATTTAAAAAGAGTATGACATGTGATAGAACCTTTCTAAATTAAAATTATTTGTTTATATGATCTTTTTAAGACATGATCTATTAGAAGCACTTCTCAATCCTAGTCGTTACGACCCAAGTATACCACCAGAATACATTACAGAAGGTAAAACAATTCAAGTTGCATTGCTTAACTTTATTATCATGAAAACCATGTTTTGTTTGTAAATATAAGAATATGTTATACGAATAATGTAATGAACCATTCTTAGCAGCGAATAAAGGTCATGTTACGGTACACTAACAATAAGCTAGTGGCCCGTGAAATCAGTCTGCCCTATAATGAAAGGGCGGACAGGTCTTCGTCCCTTTCTTGTAATGGAAGGGGAATCCTGTGAAACGTGTATGTGGTCTCACGGTCACTTTCCTTACAATGTGTCCTCGATGCGTGTATGTGGTCGTATTGCCGAAAATTTCTTATTAAATGACAATGTTTTCAAAAGTGTTTTGGTACAGAACCGTCTGGTGTAAAATCTTATGTTGGGAATTTTACTCTTAACTAGGAGAAATAAACCTAAAATACAACTTTACACACTAAAATTCGGTATTGCTTTTAGCATTAATATGAGTAGTGGTATTTAACAACATTCTATTTCAATTAAAATAATAAATTTGTGTTAGTTATATTATGATTTGGTTTAAAAAGAAACTTACAAAGTATTGTAAGTGTAGGTACTAACATTCACTTGACGTTTTATAAGTAAATTTTAAATCATAATGTCTATACGCCCCTCGTACAAATCAGATAGCCCCGTGTTTCTATGCTCTTTCAATACATATTGACTTTCTTTAGTGTTGAATATGATGTGGTATGTATTGAAAAAAGTAATGTCGCCTCAGGCTATATTACTTTTCAAGAACATACCACACCATATTCTCAAGCTAAAATGTACATGTCCGTTTTTAATCATTATAATTCACAAATAGCTTTTAAATTTATTAAATTAAGTCTGCTTCAGATTACGGCGCAAAATTATTTACTTTTTTATAATTTTCTAAACTTGAGCCAGATATATAAAAAGAACGCACCGGAACGCTTCATTTTTAAATATAAATGCGGAGCCAACGGCAACTTTGATTTTTATTCATGCGTGTCAGAATTAATACCTTACGTCATCTTGTATCCTCGAGTAATTTGGCTGATTTCCAGAACATCTATTTTAGGACCAAAAATGATCAATATACTTTTAAAAATTAAAGAAAAAAATAGTGAATATACTCTGATATTTTATTAACCAGTTGGGAAAATGCATTCGATTGCTATCTTTAGATTATATAAAATATACAACCATCAGACGTTAAACGGTTACACGAACGCAGCTCAACCTAACATAACAAGATATGTTTGTAAAACTTGTATGCCCCCTATCGGCAGCCAATTAGCCATGTGATCAGTTTATTATGACTGACTTTTGACCTAGTTACCACAAAATCAATGAGGGTTAATTACTGGTCATGACTAGTCACTAGGTAATTGTGACCACAAAGGTTGTATGAAGCAATTTTATGACAAAGTTATTTCAAATCTTACCAAATAATATATGCATAAATTGTATGAAGCATGTCGGCCTCATTAATGACAGCCAATCTGTTATATTACACAAAACCTTGAAATGTGTATACCAAAAGGATTTTTATTTTAATAAAAAATATCAACCAAAGCAACTTGAGTTAGTGAGTTATTGGTCAACAAAAGTCTTTACATACAAGGACAATATGACATTGACCTTTGACTCAAAATCAATAGGGGTTATCTACTGGCCAAGACCAATGCACCTGTGAAGTTTGAAGGTAAAGGGCCCATGACTTGGGATATTGATCAGAAAGCATTGTTACCTATAAGGTCAATGTGATCTTGACTTCTGACCCTTTAGCGCCAAAAATCCATTGAGGTCATCTTCTGACCAAAAGCAATGCATTTGTAAAGCTTAAAGGTCAAGGGTCCATGGGTTGTCCAGTTATTGATAGAAAACTATTATAAAATACAAGGTCAATACAACTTTGACCTTTGTTCCCCTGACCCAAAAATCATTAAGGGTCATGTAATGGCCAAGACCAATGCACCTTCAAAATTTGAGGGCCAAAAGCCCATAGCTTGTGAAGTTATTGATAGGAAACCTTTTTAAATACAAGGTCAATGCAACCTTGATATTTGACCCCTTGACATCAAAATCAATAGGGGTCATCTACTGGTCAAGTCCAATGCACCTACTAAATTTGAGGGCCAACAGCCAATAGGTTGTCAAGTTATTGATAGGAAACCGTTTTCACCTACAAGGTCAATGTGACCTTGACCTTTAACCCTTTCACCCCAAAATCAATAGGGGTCATCAGCTGGTCATGAACAATCATCATATCAAGTTTGACATTCCTAGACCTAAGCGCTCTTTAGTTATTGATCGGAAACCGTTTTTATCTACTAGGTTAATGTGACCTTGACCTTTGATCCCTTGACCCCAAAGGGGTAATCTAGTGGTCAAGTTCAATGCATCTATCAAGTTTGAGGGCCAATAGCCCATGGGTTTTCAAGTTATTTATCGGAAACCGTTTTTACCTACAAGGTCCATGTGAGCTTGACCCCTTCACCCCAAAATCAATAGGGGTCATCAACTGGTCATAAACAATCATCATACCAAGTTTTAAATTCCTAGGCCTAAGTGTTCTTTAGTTATTGATCGGAAACCGTTTTTATCTACAAGGTTATTGTGTGTCAAAATCAATAGGGGTCATCTGCTGGTCATGAACAATCATCACACCAAGTTTGAAGTTCCAAGGCCTATGCGTTCTTTAGTTTTTGATAGGAAACCGTTTTTACATACAAGCTAAATGAGACATTGACCTTTGACCCCTTGACTCCAACATAAATAAGGATGTGCTGGTCATTAACCATAATCATACCAAGTTTGAAGCTCCTAGGCCTTAGGGTTCTTTGATTATTGATCGTAAACTGTTTTTACCTACAAGGTAAATGTGACCTTGACCTTTGACCCCTTGACCCTAAAATCAATATGGATCATATGCTGGTCATGGGCAATCATCATACCATGTTTGAAGTTTCAGGCCTAAATGTTCTTTAGTTATCACTCGGAACCCGTTTTTACCTACAAGGTCAATGTGACCTTGACCTTTGACCCATTGACACCAAAATCAATAATGGTCATCTACTGGTCATGAACAATCATCATACCAAGTTTGAAGCTCCTAAGCCTCAGTGTTCTTTAGGTATCATTCGGAAACCATTTGGTCTACGGACCGACTGACTGACAGACCGACGGACCGACCGACAGACAAATGCAAAGCAGTATACACCCACTTCTTTGAAGGCGGGGGGGGGGGCATAATTACAGAATATATGTCATCAATGGGGTGTAACTATAAACTGTAATAAGTAATTGTATTTGAATTGAGAGAAACAAAAAGCAGCAAATAAAGTTTATCATCACCCTACGATGTCTTGTCATTGAATATGAGTCTGTTCTATTTATAAATCCAATTCAGCCAGTGAATATGATACTACATTCAGTGATTATGTTTTTTTTCTCACCAAAGAGGTTGTGGATGTTTTAGATTATATCTTAAGTTAAGTCTTGTCCGCATTTATTTTTCTAGATTTTTATACCCTACCTCAACGGCAACTGTATGCATGCTATACTGGTTTGAGGCTGTCTGGTTTGTCTGTTTCTTTTTAAACCTCTAATCCATTTTTTATAAATTTGACAGGAATAAAAGGGTGAAAAAACCCTTGGATTTTGAAAGGAATTTGCCCTTTGAAGATGGGGTTGTTAGTTTTCGGCGTAAGCCCTTTTGAAACACCTTTCAAATTCAGCAACCCTACAAACCCCTCCAAATAATTTCGCTTTTTAGTTTGAGGGGTAACCATATAAAAAAATTTTTTTACACACCAATCATGGGCGATTTTTCTTTAATTTTGAACACTTTGGGGTTTTTCAAATTTTTAAACCCCTTTGGTTTAAACCAATACGAGTGGGTTATATTCACTTTTCCCGAAAAAAACCTTTTCGTTGCCCATTTTGCCGACGGGTAAACGGGCAAAACAACCCTTGCCCTTTAAAAATTTACTCTTTGTTTTCAAGATTTTTTTTTAAAATTTACTTCAAAACATTTTTTTTTCAACAAAAAAGCAATCTTTTTAAACCCTTCCCCACGTAAACCCGGTTTTGGGAATTTTCTTCTATCCCTTTATTTTTAAAAAAACCGGGTTTTTTGGGCAGGGTTTAAAAAAGATTTTCCTGGGGAAAATGGAATTAAAAAGAAATATTATTCCGTCGTCATCAGATCTACATAAAAGAAATAAATAGATCTGACTTGAGTCAGATTGCCACCGCATCGTTCCTGATCAGGCTGTCAAGCATTTCATTCGTACTATTTGCCTTCACATTCAAAAGAAACTGAACTATTGAGCTAACCGGACGCCTAAATTGACCTAGACCAATAAATTACATTTAACTTCAATGTAAATTGCCTGAATGAAACATCTAAAATTATGCTATTTTTTCTAATTTCATACTTTACCAAATCATTATTATTGTTTATGGAAATAGTTCAATGTCAAGTCAAAGCAAATTAGTGAGTAGTTACCTTAAGTATTTTTTTTTAAAATACAATGGGGATAATATGAATTTTGACAAATCATGTAAATAAAACCATCTATTCATACAACATCGCATCGGTGTACAAAAACGTCTTCAATGACTGCAACTTATTCTGCACATTTTGACATTTCCCTAAACATGTATTGATGGTTTTGTCTAGGTTGATAGATGAAGAGGTTTATTTAAGATATTTAGCGTGGTTAGGGGTAAATCACCAATTTTATAAGCAAGTTTTTTTTATTAAAATAGATAGAAGATAGAAGAGGCTGTTTTGATAAATTTTGATAAACAAAGTAAGAAAGTAAATAAAACTTCTTTTGCAAGTAAGACACTTACACCCCTTGACTTCTCGACCCCTTATTCGGTATTATTCAAAAAACAATCTACATGTTTTCAGTTCAACTTTGAGAATTACGTGTACTATAATTTACAACTACACTGTGTATTATGATATGTAAAATACTAGTTATATAAACAAGAAAAAAGGACATTGTGACATAAAAAAGTTTAATTACATTCCCAAAATATTTTAATACATCTCGCATTTCATACACGCATTTTCTCTCATACATTGAAAGACAAGCTTCAAAAGCATATTTTGGCAGCAAACGGCGTGATGTATATATCTTTAAATTATCTAATATCTTGAAGTCGATGCAAATATTGCTATGTTATATATATTGTTAAGATATTTTTATATATAAGTACACATACAATACATATTTAGCAAATTTATGTGTATATGATAAAGTGTTACATCAGCTAGCATCTCAATCACTTGTACGTATATTGTTATCAATATTCAATCTTTTACTCTAATAGAAGGAGCAACAACCAAAGTGAAAATTCAGCTAACGATCCATGATATTATTTCTGAGAATGAGAAGATTATGGTAAGAAGTTTGGAGTATATAATGAATTGACCAAACATATAGCTTGCATGAAATATAATGTTGTTTAAAACCATACCATTTTATGTGACATATTTAGCTTTACTTCTTACTGAATTTAATTTAAACATTATTAGCTTTATAGGTTTAAAACTTTTTTGGGATACGCTTGTTTACATTTTTATTTATGTGGACACTTTTGTGTCACTGTTTCCCAGGTTTGTAATTGTTCAAATGGGATGTATTTTTTTCCCTGGATTTCCATTGCTTTTTGACCACTTTAAATAAACCCCATTCATTGTCTTTAAGAGTTCATCTCTTTGTCTTCCGTTTTCTGTCCAAAATCTTTAATATCCTCATATTAGTTTTCTTATTTTTCTCTAGTTATTTATTCTTTGGGGAAATTGCTCTCGTTTTTTTTACCTCCTTTGTTTTGGGTCCTTCTATACTCTTGGGGCTTCATTTGGTGAATTGAGAATACCAATACCATTGATTGATGTTTCCCGTCCATATTTATCACTCAAGGGGAAAGCTTTTTTGAATATGTTTTAAGCGAAATATTTATGCTCGTAGCCTTTGCAGATGTCTAGTTAATAATCTCAAATAAGTATGATAACTATTGGAGAGTATATGGATATAATTAATTATCCCTTTTAGTTTAATATGAAAAGGTAATGATTTAGGTGATATATGTTTGATGTCTGGAGAGGTTAAATGCTAAGTATATATAATGCAAAGAAATGATAAAAAATCATATTCATGCCACAGGTACCACATTTTATATTATTTATTATTTATTGATATTGCCATAGATAAAACGGGATTGATTTTATAAGAAAAAATAAGAAAATATACATTTTGTAATTTTTCTATAAAGTGAAACAAACAGCAATGTTTTGATATTAAATAAACCATATTCTTTTTTAATAATGGAAAGCTTTTGAAACATTATTCAACAGGAATTTTCTTGCTTGATGTACGTGAGGATGTACTGGACAGACAGCCGCTTGGACTACTCCAACAATGCGTCATACTCTAATCTAAAAGTAAGCGGTTCATTTATATCAAAGGTTTGGGTCCCTGATATATTCTTCACTCAGAACCGTCAAAGTTATTTTACTGGCGTGATTGGAAAAAAATGAATTGATATATATAGGAAGATATGGAAATATCACGTTCAGTGGAAGGTATGTTTAATGATAAGTTATAATGAATAACAACATTATGAAATCTTTATTTATTGTTAAAAAAATTCCAGAAAGCTTTTTATACCAGCAAGTGTGCGTTTCTTAAGGTCAATTAGTTTATACAAAAATTATTTTAACTTAGCTGTTAGCTTCAAGACACACATTCGAAAGCTTCTTTAAAATGTTATACTGTTGTTAAGCAAAGGAAAGGTAAATAAATAAACAAACCAAGCTTGAAAGTTGAAAAGATTTACTTGTGTAAAAACATAATGTTTACAAACGTATCAAAGAAGTACTCTGTAAAAAACATTGTTAAATGTTTTCAGTTTGTATCGATAGGTCGAATATTGAGATAAAATTATCAATTTACCTAAAAGCAATATTGGTTAATATGACCCTGTATGTGTAATTTAACAGATGGCTATATTTCCTTACAGGATCGCAACAACACTGCTTTGTAAAATGGATCTTCGACTTTATCCATATGATCTGCAACTGTGTCAAATATCACTCCAAAGCTGTATGTAGTTTTGTTAAATTTTATTTATTTGCAATTTTTGTTCAATAAAATTGACTGTCCTAATATGTTTTACACCATACTTCTTCTTTGAAGCTCAGAGTCTTTTTTTATAAGAAATTGCTTTTATTTCTTATAAATCATTTGTGTATGTATCTGGATAGACCCAGAAGTATAGATGACATATTGTATATTTTATTAGTTATCTTCAACAACAAAGGAAAACAGAAACAACGAAAATTTAAGGGAAGACTTAAAATTTTTAGCATTCCCAAAGAAATTTAATATGGGGTTTAATATAAAATTTTTGTAATCGCCAAAAGTTTTGAATTTTAATAAGGGCCCCCGGGGGGTTTCCCAACTTTAGCCCTAAGAAGTTTATTCTATTTTAAATATAAAAAAATTTTTCTTTAGTATTTTAAAATCAAATTTAGAAATACTTATTTTTTTTTAAATTTAACATATACATAATCCGTATGTAAAATTGTCTAACCTAATTACCGTCGTAGCACTATCTTAATATCGTAAACATTCATACCACGTTAAATACTTTCAAGAAACTACTTTCTTCAACTTTGTATGGTAATATCAATCGGATTTAATTTAAGATACGTATACTGAAGAGGAGGTTCAACTTTTCTGGACAATAGATCATCCTGTGGTGGTACATGGTAAGACTATAAAAGAGTACCCCGCATGGAGAAACAGAACATTTGTATCTCCGGGGGTAAATTCAGGTACTGTTACATTGAATAATTGTTTCATGCATTCTGAAAATATTGTGCTTTATTATTTTTTAAACCAATCAAATGAAGTTTTTTTCTGAATGGTTATAACATATTTCCATACAATCATGTATGTTTCTTTTTGCATTGCTTAAAATGTACGTATGTGTATCCAAATGAAAGTTGTTCATGTAAAAGAGCTGATGAACTATAGGAATTTTGATAAGATAATGTAAAAATAACAGAATATATTACGTTTAAATATTCAACATATAAGTGTGTATCTGTGCTTTTTGTGAAACAATCTTGGCTCTAAATTAAAACTTCCATTCCAGTGGGCAATTTTTCTAACTTGAACACGGGAATACAAATAAAGAGGTATACACATTCAGAAAGTCAGACTATATGTACCCCTATGGTACTAGTTTTGATTGCTATGACGTCCTTTAGTTTCGGTGATAATTTCACACCAAGGGTTGCACTTTCCGGGGCTTCCATGACAACAATTATAATGCACTGGGCGGGAATTTATAATAAGATCCAACCAGCCGCTACTTTGAGCTGGCTCGACAGCTGGATGCTTATCAACCTCTGCTTTGTTGGAGGAATTATTTTCTATACAGCTATAAGCTACCATGCCAAGGTAGGTATTACTATTATATCATTTCTTTAGCATCATGATAATATATTTTTATTATCATTATAATAATTATTATTATTTTTATTATTGTTATTATAATTATAATTATTTTTTTTTTATTATTGTTATTATAATTATTATTATTTTTATTATTGTTATTTATTATTATTATTATTATTATTTTTATATTTCTCAAAAATTTAATTTTCGCTATACGTATCTGAAACAGAAAAAAAGAAAAGTCATTGAATTCATTTGAGGTGTTTTGCTGTTGTTGTTCGTCGTTTTGGTTTTTTTTCATTTTGGTTTTTATTTTTTGTCATTTAGCATCCAAGAGAAGTAGAGGAGGTAAGTATTGATTTCATCATACTTTTTATTGTGATTCATTACTTTAAGAATCAAATTATGTGTCATAGAAAAATGTCCATGTTTGAATGGTACAAACATTGTTTCAAGATTCAGTAATAGGCCAAAACAGATTGTCATACGCCATGACATGATGACATAATGAATTATCAAAGCTAAAGCTCCGGATCAAATATAAAGCAATATGATACAAATATTGATCAATTGATTTGAAAGCTAGTTGATGGGTTCAAACAATTTAATTACAGTTTTCCGTAAAAGTACTCATTCAGTACGTTTTTTGAAGATGTATGTATTTGTTTGCATTTTAGATATTACGCATTTTACATTTATGAATTTTGAAATTTTTTTTTTTTATGACCCAAAGATGCACTAAATAACAAAACCAATTTCCATCACAGAAAAAAAAAATCTTAAAAAATCGATTATAGTTTCACATCAAGTTTTGTTGTATTTCAGTTTAAACATTTAATTGAAGATACAATAAGTATTCAGCTTGGTAATTGCAAGCAAAGGTTGCCAAAATGGAGTGAGGTTAAGAAAAGCGATGAAACACAAACCAGATGAAACTGAGAAGGAAACAATACTTGACAATTCTTTAACCTCTTCTTATGAAGAAATTCGTTTTACTTGGACGGTTGATCGTAGATTTTATGCTGTACAGAATGACGAATTAAGGGAAAAGTATTTTAGAGACTTTGTTAAGGTACGCTGAATACATTTAAAAGCAACTTGAACCTCAGAAATCAACATCCTTTAAAGACAGAGCAAATATAAGTTTTGAAACGTTAAAATAATGGTTTTATTGTATGTTAAATATTTATTTACTAGAGAAAATAGTGGTAAATAAATTGCTTGTCATGAAAGTAGTGACATGTAAACAAAGTAGTTTATTGACTTTAATACAAAATACGGTATCCCTATTATATTATTAGTTATAAAGATCGTTGACAGGTTATATGGCCCTATATAAAGGGCTATTTGTAAATATAACCCGAGCCGTTAGGTTGCAAACAGCCGTTTATATACGGCCATATAACCTGTCAACAATCTTTATAACGAATTTATAATACAGCAAGCATCATTTTTAGAGAAAAAGTAAGATTTCTTCATGAATCGACAGCAGCCGTGTATATAAAAACATATAAACGTCACGATTATCCAATGAAAAATGACGTTACAAACGTGCAGTATTATAAAATTGTCTAATTGCTAAAAAGAGAAACGTATTTAGCCGGTCCTTTTTGAGAAGCTATAATAGGACACCAAAAAATTAAAAGCTTTCAGAAATAATGTAAATAAATAAGTTGTTCGGCGAAAAAAAATCATACATTTCTGTTACAATTTAATTATCAAGGACAGAGAGGTTAGATTTATCACATCTGTTAAAAATCAGTTATCAGTGATTGAGGATTACTGTATTACTCTAGTTTTAAAATAATAAATACTGCATTTATTGAACGAGTTAAATAAAATTATATTGAACACGCCTCTATTAGTGAAATTAATAATGATTCTACACGAATATAATATGTAAATAAATAAAACGAACTGTTTCAAAGTAAAAAAGTAGTAAATTTTTATTGCATTGACATCACAAAGTGTTACGCAAACAAACTAGTGGCAAGTCTTATTTCTAGGTTTTCATACCGCAAGGACGTCACATATAAATATATGCATGACAGCGCAATTACATGTGAACGGAGTCGCAAAATTTGCAAGGGTATATGATAGAGCTAGTTATGTATTTTCATCGTTTACTTTCAGGATAAAGAACGGAACAAGCCTGAAATAAGATTATTGAGGAAATGTAAGCAATATTCCGGCAGGTTTATTTTAGATGTTGTCGGGTTCGTCCTATTTTTACTGGGATACATTCTTTTTACAGTGATATACGCTTTTATCTGGACACGAAAAGACTTTAATTAAGCTGAGACTGAGTCTGTGTTATTGACATTCATTGTTTATATTTTGATTTATCGTTGACATCTAAGTTGTAACTTAGACAAATGTAATGAAAACGACTTAAAAACATTTAATTTTGTTTTCTTAACAGGACTACATTTGAACGTACAAATTTTATATTGCAACCTCTGGAATCATTAACAATTTTTTTAAATATCATAATCGTCAAAATCCCTCTAAATATTTATTAAACAACTGTATTAAGAACATATTAAATTGATATGAGTTTCTATAATTTTAAAATACTTAATTTACTTTTAAAAAACTAATGCAATGTGTTGTATCAGTGAATGCTTGTAAATATTGGTATATACAACTTCCAGGTGTTTATTATTTAATTCAAGTTGTTGCTATTTTGATATTGTTGTTGTTGATGATGTTAGTGATCATGATGATGATTATGTTGTTGTTGTTATAACTTCTGTCCTGACCAGGACAATTTTTATATTGTCCAATAAGTTAACAAAAAATAAAGAATTTTACTTGGTAAAATAAATATTATTGTTAAATGGCTTAAAGGGTAAATATTTTTATGAAATATAGAAACGGAAACGTTAAATTTATGTCATTTCTATACTCTGAAAGAGTTGTAATATAGAATGTTTATGTTATCTTGCTCACATAAAAACTGTTTGTAAACAGAATAAAAATGTTCCGGAACAAATTATTATGGTGTTATTATTAAAAGGTTAAGGTTAAGGAATAATTTTGTGCATGCTTCATTCAACCCAAACTGTAATAAAACAAACATATATCTTTTATAACATATTCGTATTATTCTTTTTCATAACGCAAAGGTAAAATTAAGGCTTTTTTCACTTTAACTTTGCAAAATATTTAAACAAAACTGGACCTGACAAATGACTATTTTTAACTGAAACATTAAACATATAAATTAATACATGGAATGTCAGCACAATAATTAAAATAAAAATGATATCCTGATATTTACCATTAAGTTTGGAAAAGAATCAATTTTTCAGAAAATATTTTTGCATATAGTTTTCATGATCATTCTTGAAGTTGTTTTATTGGAATATTTATTCTGTTTTCACATTTCGTGAATTGTCGGCGAAAAATTAAACCAATTACAAGTTGTCTTTTTCCTTAAAAACATTAATTAATCGGTTAGTTCAGTTTCACGCATTGGTTATGAGGTTAAATTTGAACAGCAAATTTTATAGTCATTGCCTTTAGCCAAATGTGATTACATGTAAAATAAAACAAGTACAAATGTTTCTGCAATGGAGCAACTGAGCAAATAAACGCGCTCATTACAGATACCGTACAATATACCATATACATCTGCATATTTATTTGCAGAATAATACTTAATTATAATGTCAATGAGAGAGGGGGCAGATATTAAATTAAAAAAATAATAAAAAAACAAACAAACAAAATGCTTTCCCTAATGCCTTCCTGGTAAGGAAAGTAATTCTAATAAAAAAAGACTTCGAGACTTGTTAATGTAATGTGACATGACAGTAATTGAACATTGTTCTGTTTGTGTCACTACTTTTGTCAGTAATATTAGACGATAAAAGATATCAAAGCATGTACATTTTCTTTTTCACATATCATGCTACTCATTTTCTACAAATAGCAACAACAAATCATGGTAAGAAATATTAAAATCCATATGTACGAGGGGAAGTCAGAAAATATCCGGACTTTTGACTTGTTCTCGAAAACCATTCAACATTTAAAAAAGATCTTTCAACTCTTTTTCAAAATATTCTCCACCTACGTCTACGCACTTTTGCCATCTTCGTGGGACCTTTTGTATCCCCGCTGTGAACCATGACGTAGACCTATGTTTTAGGTACTGTGTAACAGCAGATATTAAAGCCGTCCTGTTCTTATATTTCTTTCCAGCAAACGCCTATCATATATCAGAGGGCAAAATACTGTGTATACACATTTATCATTGAAAATAAACTGACCACGTTATTGGCGAATGAATGTAGTTTTCACCAATATATAATGTGTGTATATAGCTGCACGTGGAAAGAGAAGAGTATGAAAAGTCCGGATATTTTCTGACCGTCCCTCGTTAATACGCCAAAACAAATACTTTATTCAAAATGTCTTTCGCGGCTCTTTCGCGGCAAGTGGTATATTATGATATAACAAGAAAAGCATTGATGCAAAGTATCAAATACCGTCCAAGTCAGAAATGCAGCACATGCTGATAAACAAGTAGACATCTGATGACCAGATATTCTTATAACTTTTTCAATTCTTTATTGGATTTTACTAGCAGTGGCGTAGCGCGGCCAAAAGTAATTATACGCCTTGGGGGTGGGTTAAGGGAGGGGGTGGCCCCCTCCCTTTGTAAATGGCAGGGGGTTCGGGGGTCTTCCCCCGAGAAAATTTGGATTTATAGATGCAAAATAACGCAATCTGGAGACATTTGACAACATATTTAATTCCCTTCTTATCTGATAAATACAGGATATTGAAAGAGTGTAAGTTTAATACTAAATTCATTTAATGAGTTGAATAAAATCATATATTATGTGAGCCTCTGGCGGGTTAAGGGAGGGGGCGTCCCCCTCCCTTTGTAAATGGAAGGGGGTTCTGGGGATTTCCCCCGAGAAAATTTGGATTTATAGATGCAAAATAACGCAATCTGAGACATTTTACAACATATTTAATTCCCTTCTTATCTAATAAATACAGGATATTGAAAGAGTGTAAGTTTAATACTAAATTCATTTAATGAGTTGAATAAAATCATATATTATGTGAGCCTCTGGCGGGTTAAGGGAGGGGGTTGCGCCCTCCCTTTGTAAATGGAAGGGGGTTCTGGGGATTTCCCCCGAGAAAATTTGGATTTATAGATGCAAAATAACGCAATCTGGAGACATTTGACAACATATTTAATTCCTTTCTTATCTAATAAATAGAGGATATTGTAAGTTAAATACTGAATTTATTTAACGAGTTGAATAAAATGATATTATGTGAGCCTCTGGCTAGCATAATATTATTTTATTCAACACGTTCAATAAATTAAGCAATAAACTTACACGCATTTAATATTCTATTTTTATCGCATGGCTGTGAGCTTTTCCTTTGTTCTTTCTAACCCATTATACTCAGTACACTTCAATGAGCATTTCAACACTGTATTGATATATAACAGTACAGTTTTTTCATTGATTCATATAGGAAAAAAACTCGACTGTTATATATCGGTCGAGTTTTTTTCGTACCTTGTATATATCAATACAGTTTTTTCATAGAGGCTCCAATGGGGCAGTGGTAACGACCATTCCCAGTAGCAAAAAAACCCCATAAAATAATAAAAAAATGAAATCAATAAAATAAATATATAAATACAATGAAAAATATAAACAAAGATAATTAATGAAATGAAAAAAGCCCTTTAATCTTAAATCAATCTTGGTAACAGTATACAATCTGCCTCTTATATTGGATGTCTTTTGTATATTTTTTTGCGGCAGCGAAAACAACTTGAAAAACTGCCTTATGATAAATAACTGTAATGTAGCTAATGATTAATTTATTTATTTGTTTCTATACAAAAAAGAAAACATTATGCCATTGCGATAAAACAGTTATAGTATATGAAACTCGTTAGTTACGGGGGTATATCACTGGCTGGGGCGACATCTCGGGATGTTTCTGCAAAAAAATTGTCTCGGCCTTACGGCCTCGCCATTTTTTAGCAGAAACACCCCTTGATGTCGCCCCAGCCAGTGTTATACCCTCGTAACTAACTCGTTTCATATACTATAACTATTACATCACACACCAAAAACAAAGACCGTTTGAAGTGATAAAGAAACATTTTTCATTGAAGCGCCTATAGTATAACACTAACATTTAGCGCGTCTTATCGTTATGTTTATGTAACGCAAAATATGATGTTTTGTCAAAATATAATTATGCCAGTGCAATACCATTTTTACGGAGTCGCAAAATCGGCACGGGTATGTGCTATCTATGCAGAAATGGTTATTCTCTGAAGACAAATGCAAGGCGGCGTTGTTTTCTTGCAGCAAATTTGTCAACTATGTACTCAAAATAAATTTTCATGTCTCTGTAAATATTCATTAGGCCAAGCCCAGACAGCCGTTCTGTAGTCATGGTAGATCTCTTCATGGTGCTGAATGATTGTTCAGCTGTAGCCGTAGACACTGGCATAGTGAGCATTACTAACAAACAACGACGGACATTGGGATAGTGCTGCTCATTAGCCAGTGGTAATGTTCCTAGAAGTGTATCAGGAGCTTGTGGACGGTCCAACGCAAGTGGTCCATCTGTCCAACATGTAACCACTTTCTCACTTCCCTGGTAAAGGTAGCTTCGTCCGTACGCCCTAGACAGTAGACACCGTTTAAAAATGACTTTATATTTCAGTTTTATTATAGATCTAGTTAAAAATAAAATAGAATAATATTTGATGTAATTTGATAGAAAAAAATACATTTGAATATGATTTAATGATAAATTGCATTATTTTACCTACTTTAAATTTCTTGATCCGCATAAACTTACCTCGATTTAAATGCATATTTATGTACATTGGGCCTATCTGACTTTAATAAAGTGACTTTCAGCTCATCGTTTAAAATGGTGCAGTTGAAAATATCAACATTAGGAGGCTCATGTTCTTCGGACGTTTTACGTTGGGACGCCATTAAATTTTGATTTTTCCCGCTAGTATAACTTCTTATGTAAACAACATTCGGAATATAATAGGATTCTACGATAAGATACAAACAAGTCAATACGCATGACACTGTCTTACCTAAAATAGTACTAGATCTACCTAGGTACTAGTTAGCTGTTCTACACTTGCAACAAAACATACCGATACACTATTTAAATCGCTTAATAACAAAATATTTTTTGTCAGCAAATCCTTTTTTCTCCGTCAAAACTCACGGCGATGCCTAACACGGGTTAGGGTACTGATTTGGACTACTGTTTTCAACATTTAAGACTTTTTGATTTTTTAAAATTCATTTTCGTTTAGTACGCCTACGGCGTACTGGCGTATGCCCGGCTACGCTACTGACTAGAATTGTATACTATAGATAAATGGGCGGACGAAAGACATTGTTGATCATGAACTTTGGTAGGCTTGCTAGAGATTAAAATATTAAATGGTTTTTCTTTAGACGTACAAAACAGTAGTCAAAATGAACAAAGTCTGTTTTTAAAAATAGTAACAAAAGACTTATAGAAGTATATTACACGTAAGTTTTTCATGTCGGATAAAAAGAAAATGGTTTCTATTTATAACTGGGACTTAAGATACATTAGTTAAATTTCATGTCGCAGATTAATACTGATAGTAGAACACACATTTGGGATGAATTTTAAAAAGACCAAATTCAGAATTTGTTTTGTTATACACGCTGTATGGTGAAAGATATCAATATAATGGAAGACTGTTACCTGAATTTTAGAAAGTATGAGGAAAGTCACTTACATCATGTTCGTGCGAGTCAAAGATATAAAAGTTATTTGACATTGGTGATAAATAGAGGGCCATAGTTAATTGTTTTATTGAGAGATCGATCTACTATTGTGTTGAATTGCTTCAACATCCTCGCCTGATTTACCAGTGCCATTACATTCCTATCAATAAAAACTTAACACCTCATATCAAAACTGCAGACGGAAGTTTCTGTTGTTAAAATATCACAATTTGGCAATTCAACATTCCACTCAAACCACAATAAAACC